AGCAGTTTGGATAGGACCCCAGGCCTCTGCACTTTGAAAGAGTTTCTCCTGTAATGGCAGTGTGCAAACAAATTAGAACCACTGCCTTGGCCTGAATGCAGGAGTAGTGGAACTTCAACAAGTCCCCCAAGTTGAACCCTCAGCCATGAGCTAGGGATCATCCTGCAGAGGAAGCACCAGTAGTAAAGGGGAGTAAAAATATAGGCAAGAAAGAACTGTTGGCAAAGGGGAGTAAAAATAGAGGCTGGGAAGAGAGCACAGGGATTAGGGTTAAGACAGGTTAAAAGTCTGGAAACAGATACAAAATAGGTAAGGTGGGAGGCAACTCAGCCCAACTCCAGAGGGGACGGCCCAAGTCCTCTTTGAGGTGCCTCTAGTTTGATTTGAAGCTAGTCATTTATCGGTCTCTAGGCCTCAGTTTCATCATATAGAAATAAGATTCAGAATACTTCGATGTTCTAGACTGCCTTTTTCTTACTTTCTCCTCCCCGACTCCCCATCCCCTGCCATGCTGCCCTTATAATGCTGGAGATTAAACCTAGGGCCTCATGTCTGCTAGGCAAGAACTCTACCACTGAGCTACATTCCTAGCCCATTTTTTCTGACACTGTAAGTGTGCTTTTACCCTAGCAGTACGGGTTTCAACCAGATTGCTAAGATTTGCAACCAGAGGATTCTCACTAACAAAATAAGCAACCTTTGACCTGGTGTAGTGTTGTATGCCTATGATCTCAGCCACTGAAGATGCTGATGTAGGAGGACTGCACAATTGAGGCAAGGTTCAGCAACTTAATGAGACCAAGTCTCAGAAAATAAAAAGAGGCTGGGAATGTAGTTCAATGGTACAGTGCCCTTGGCTTCAATATCTACTACAAAAATAAATAAATAAATAAATAAATAAAAAGTAACTTCTGCATTTAGGTCAAATAAGGACCGTTTTCCTCCATGACAGCAGGGATAGTCACCTAGTTTTTTCATCCCTCAGTAAATCCTTCATAAGGTAACAAGCATTCATAATTGGAAAAGTATTCTTTAAAGTTAAAAAAAATTACAGTATGACACTCTCAAGACAATTTATTTTTTCACTTGATTTTTTTCTAGAATAAAGCAACTGATAACAACATGAGTATTGGACATATACAAATATTGCTTCAGGCATATAGTCCCTATATCCTCAACAACATCACTGATAATCAGATAGATATAATAAGACACAACAATGTTGATTTATCCAAGAAAACTCCTATTATATTTGCTTATGTTAATTCTAGAAAATACAGTAAAGCATTGGCATATTTACAATGCAAAATGTATTCTGTTTAAAACTTTGTAACTCAGTTTCTTGTAGTATCTCCTTCACAGGTGTTCGAAATTTCCCTAAACTTTCAAATTAGCTGCTTGTAGCTCTATTTAGAAAAATCTAAAAGACCATATATCCTAGGACTGCATCAGTATTCCATCAGATGAAAACATTATGGATGTATTTTATGAATGAATTATTGTCTGAATCATGGTTTTTCAAACTTCAACATTAAAATACTTTATAGTATACTCTTATATTGTTCATCCATAATAAAATCTAGTGAAAAAATAGTGTGATGAAATAACTCTTTTTAAAGTATTTGCCACAATAGGGAAGGTCACCAAGTAGTTCTGATAAACCCAGGCTAATTCTCTCTTAAGATCATGAGCCATCTTGTCAAAAGTTATAAAAGACTCATTTCTGTTTTCTGCAAAATATTAGGATTTCTATTTGGCCTGGCCATATTTTGATGTTTTAAACTTGCTTGGAATGCCTGCCCGTGCCTTGAACTTAACCATGCCTGGTTTTTCCTGACAAGATAACAACCCTCTCTGAAACCCTAATGGCACACCTCATAAATTCAGATGTTGGGATCCAAATTTACTCCCTAAATGCTGAACCATTTAGATCTTTATGCTAGTCAAAATCCTGTTATCTGTAAGTTCTCAAGACACTCCTCTTTTGCAACTTTTGAGCTATAAAACTGTGCTCCTAGAGAGCTGGAGTACGTCTTCTAACCCAAGAATTTTGGGAGAGACAGTCCCAGCTGGTCAGAATTACAAGCTCGCCTTAATTTGATTTAAAATTGGAGTTGGTTCTGCATTAAAAAATGACAAAATCATAGAATTTACAGGGAAATGGATGGCATTAGAGCAGATTATGCTAAGTGAAGCTAGCCAATCCCTAAAAAACAAATGTCTAATGTCTTCTTTGATATAAGGAGAGTAGCTAAGAACAGAGTAGGGTCGAAGAGCATGAGAAGAAGATTAACATTAAACAGGGATGAGAGGTGGGAGGGAAAGGGAGAGAGAAGGGAAAATGCATGGAAATGGAAGGAGACCCTCAGAGGTATACAAAAGTACATACAAGAGGAAGTGAGGGGAAGGGGAAAAATAATACAAGGGGGACAAACGAATGTCAGTAAAGGGGGCAGAGAGAGAAGAGGGGAGGGGAGGGGAGGGGAGGGGAGGGGGGATAGTAGAGGATAGGAAAGACAGCAGAATACAACAGACACTAGTATGGCAATATGTAAATCAATGGATGTGTAACTGACGTGATTCTGCAATCTGTATATGGGGTAAAAATGGGAGCTCATAACCCACTTGAATCAAATTGTGAAATATGATATATCAAGAACTATGTAATGTTTTGAACAGCCAACAATAAAAAATTTAAAAAAAAAAAAAAAATTGGAGTTGGTGGTCTTTTCTTTGCGTCGTGGTTTAATAGTTCATATATCCACCCACACACATGCATGCGTGCACACACATACATATGCATATACACACATAAAATATATATACATACATATATATGTATATGCACATGCAAATTATATGTATGTACATATACAAACATGTAAATTTAATGAGAGGCACATATGGGTTTTATGACTATGCACATATATGTAAAATATATATGTATATTCATTCAAAGGTTACTATGCATAAGACATAGGTTTATAAAACCCAAACTATGCTAGCATGACCTATAGCCATTTAGCTGCAATTAATTTAACAAAAAGCATTACATACTAAAAAGTACAGAAAGAGGGGCTGGAGTCGTGGCTCAGTGGAAGAGTGCTTGCCTCGTATGGGTGAGGCACTGGGTTCGATTCTCAGCACTACATATAAATAAATAAAAAATAAAGGTCCAACACTAAAAATATTTTTTTAAAAAAAAGTACAGAAAGATTTGCTTTGAAGGGGAAGGTTTACTAGTAATGTACCAGTAGAAAAACAACTTTCCAAGAGATTTTTCTTTGTGCTTTCTGTAAGCAAATGAGTTTAATTCATAGAAATATACAAATATATAAGTACACCATAAGGAAAAAAATAGTAATTGGAAAAGCCAAACACAGTTTTACCAAAGAAAATCCTGAAACACTAAAGTCTAGGAAAGCTCTAAAAGTGTGTACATAGTGAAACTTCAGTTTAATACTCAAGTAAGAAAAATCATAAGACATGAACGTGGTAAAATGTATTATCGTTTAAAATAAAAAGAAGGAAACTATGAAAAAGGGCAGAAGCAGCAGCTTCAAAATTGAGCCAAAGGAGATGAAATCTCAGCAACCCAGTTCAAAGCTGGGAGTCAGATCTTCCTGAAATACAGAGTTCCTACCATCCTTTGGGATGGGAGCATTAAAGATGTACCAGCAGGTGACATAGAAGATGGGTGATAGCAAGTCGGTTGGGCTCTGGACAAGCATATGGTAATGTCTCTTTGCTAAAGCCTGTTTCCTAATCATTCTAAATGACAGGTACCTGCAACTGCTCACAGACTACACTCCTCAATAATACCCACTGTTTTCAGGCAGCATATGTTCCCAACTAGATCACTACATTATGGAAAAAAACATTCTTTTCATTTTAGTTTAACCTAACATAGTGTTCTAGACTACTAGTACATGTTTCAAGTTGATTCTCTTGAAAAATCCCAACTTGCAGTTGGAACACTAGATTTTTGAGAAATCTTAGGGATCATCTAGTCTAACCTCTTTATCTTAAAAGAAACTAATAGCGTTAAGTATCTACTAGATTAAGGTCATAAAGCTTGAACTAGCACCCTCATCTCCTATAACCATTTCATTTTTTTCCAAGTAGCATTTAACTCTTCCATTATGATAAACTAATAATCACCTTCCAACAGAAAACAAAGGAAGAGTTACTTCCTTTCTGTATTCACTATGTGCCATGGTCTTGGCAGCCCGGGTGTGAGAAGCCTGCTTTACAAACATTATCTTACCTAATACTTAGGATAACTCTAAGAACTAGGCAATATTCACTCAATTCTACAAATGAGGAGAATGTAATTTGAGCATGATGAAAAGAAGAAAAAAGAAAACCCAGATTCTCAGTTTACCAGAGAAAATACATCCTTACTGCCTCTCATTGAATTTACCCTTCAAATGCTGAAGTCTCACACGGAATCAAGCCCAATGCTTGACCCACTCATGAGAAGCTAATGATTACATGACTTATTAAGTGGATAATTTAATTCATTACAAACAAAACTGCCTAAATCTACAAAGAGAGGGTTTCGTTGTTTGATTCGTTACATAATCCCTAAGAAAGGCTTCAACAGTGGGCAATTTGCATACTAAAAGGTGATTTAAGCAATGGCTGTTTCTCATCCTACACATAATCCATTTGTTTAACAAATAGGTTGTGAGATATTATTTTTTACAGTGTTGAATCTGATGATGAAAAGTAAAATAAAAATTTCTTGCAAGGCTCTGTTCCGCCCCCCAAGAAAAACACATGAATTTCAAAATCACTCAAGAAACCAATATAAATGTGAAACACTTCCCTCCTTCTTCCGATGGAAGAAAAAAACTCACACAACCTGAACACCTTCAATGTGCCAGTTCTTGAACTTCCATCCATTGTCTCACCTTCATCCCTTACAACCAAGCAAATTAGGCAACATTCTATTTTCTGATCATTAAATTGAGGCTTAGTGAAATTAACATACTCACTTAGTTACTAAAGATTTGGAACTGGAACCCAAAGCTATGTTCTCTCCAAAAAGAAGCCAGAAGTGAAAGGAAAGTGACCACAACACTCGGAGCAACCAAAAGATCTTTATTGCAGCAGTGCAACAAAGAGAAAAGAAAGAAGGAGAGAGAGAGAGAGAGAGAGAGAGAGAGAGAGAGAGAGAGAGAGGAAGCGCACACAGGAGAGAGAGACAGAAAGCAAGAGAGAGAGCAAGAGAGAAAGAGCAAGAGAGAGTGTTAGTCTGTAAACAAGTCAAAATAACACCTGGCATTTTGCCAGGGGAATGTTAGAGTTCGTAAACAAGTCTGGATGGTGCCTGGCAAAATGCCAGAGGGAGTGGTTTGAGAAGTAACAAAAGCGAGCCATTAAGTGTGGAGATTCCTGATTGGTTGACTGATGTATCTAGTTTATGCTAATTAGATAAGCTGTGTGGAATGTATAAATACTGCTCCTGTCCTGCAATAAATGGCTCCTACTCCTGCTGTATCAATGTACACAAGTTGTTCGTCACCCCCTGGTTATTTTGCTGCAGCCGGACTGCGGCAAGAGAGGGGGCCTGGCAGGAGGGAGTTTTTATAGCCCAAATCTAATAGGGCCTCTGGGTCTGCAAGCTGCCTTGTTGGCCCAAGGGGGGGTTAAGTGTTCAGCCTTAAGCAGGGTTGAATGTTCAGACTTGAGGCAAACAGGTGATAAAGGACCAGATAGAGGGGGGTTTGAGTGCGTGGGCTGTCTTGCAGCCAACATCTGTTCAGCCTGCCCTGCAGACAACACAGTTCAGCCTGCTCTGCACCCAACAAGAAGTACAATTTTTCCACTGCTCTCTGAGACAGAGAATGAGTCTTTTTTTTTTTTTTTTCCAAAAAGAAAACTGTGCATGTACACGGTGTGTTTGCGTGTTTTGTTTGGGGTACCAGGGATTGAACCCAGGTGCATTTAACCACTGGGCCTTTTTATTTTCTGTTTTGAGACAGGGTCTCGGTGAATTGCTTGAGGCTGGGTGGGAAAGGTACAGAGAGCTGGACCTGAGTTTGGGGTTCTGGGAAGAAGGATGCCTGGGTTGGGCAAGCTGTGCCAGCATCCCTCAGGTGGGCTTTCAGCAAACGAACACCTTGAATTGGATCCACCAGTCTCCGGGCTGCTACCATGCCCTCTGGCCATGACAAGGATGACTTCAAGAGATTAGCACTTTCTGAACTTCTGTTTCTTTCCTGCCCCCAAGGTCCTCCCTTTACCCCTAAGCCAAATCTGGAGCAATTGGTCTAGCACCAAATCTATTCAAAGCCAGGTCCATCAGTTCAGGCAGTTGTTTATATTCCCACCCCTTCTCGCGGCCCCATTTGTCTTCCTTGGGCTTGCCACCTACTCTCTGCTCCCAGGATGTGGGGCCTGGCCTTGGCTTCCCCTTCTCTTCCAGGCAGCAGTACAGGCCCTGTGGAACTGGAAAAAGGCCCTGCGATATTCAAGGCAGGTTCCACAGGGATGTGTAGATTCATTCTCCTGTGGAGACCAGATGGGCCCGAGATCAGGCCCTTTTGTGTTTTTTATAATTTATTTTGAAATTTTATTAATGTTTTTATATGAAATGGGGAGCAGTATGGAGAGAGATTGGTCCCTGTGCAAGTGTCTTATGATGTGTAAATCAGAGAGAAGCTGTGAGGTGGTACAGGATGGACCGAAAGGAAGAAAAGCCAGGAGAGAGGCCAGGATGGGAGGACACTACACATCCATTCTCTCCTGTGTCCTGGCCTTGTGGCTCTGGCCTAAGTATCTGCCCTTCACAAAGGCAGCCACTGTAAGGACAGGGCCCTCTTCTTCAAGTCAAAGTGGGGAAGTGAGTGGGTGAAACTGGAAGGCTGAGTCTGGAGTGAAAGTGGCCCTGGTCTCTAGGGCCACAGCTGCCTTGGTGGGTGAGAAAGCAGAAGACAAAGAGGATGTCCCTTCTGTCTTCCCTTCCTGCCCCAGGCCAGAGCCTGGGGTTCAAGTGTCTTAGGGCCAGTCCCCTAACTCCTCCTGACTGGGAGATAATTTTTTTTTTTTTTTTGGTACTGGGATTGAACTTGGGCACATAACCACTGAGCCACATCCTCAGCATTTTTTTTTTTTTTAATTTAGAGACAGAGTCTCATCAAGTTGCTTAATGCTTTGTTTTTACTGAGGCTGTCTTTGAATTCACAACCCTTCTGCCTGAGCCTCCTACCACGGGGAGTAGAGGTGTGTGCCACCATGCCCAGGATCTAGGTTTTTGTATCACAGATATTATAGCATGTTTATGTAATTCAAGACTGTCAGACTTGGAAGGGACCCTGGAGATCACTAGTCCATCCTTTCTCCTTCAAAAATAGGTCCAATTCTGGGGCTGGGATTGTGGCTCAGCGATAGAGCACTCACCTAGCAAGTGCGAGGTGCTGGGTTCGATCCTCAGCACCACATAAAAATAAATAAATAAAATAAAGATATTGTGTCCAACTACAACTAAAAAAAAAATAAATATTTAAAAAAAAAAACAGGTCCAATTCTGAAGACTAGAAACTGAAATTATCAATTAGAACAATACTCTCGGGTAAGCCAGGACAGAGAATAGTTTAGGGATCCCCTCCACCCAAAGACAGGAAGAGGCCTTCGGACCAGAATGGATGTCTTCCCTAAGAGAGCCCCCAAGGACTCAGTGATGTGGCCCCAAGATTGCAGCATCATCTTGGGCACTTGCTAGAGGTGGAATTTTTAGGACCAACTCTGGGATTCTGTATCACAAACTGGGGTTGGGCCAAGCCATTTTGATAAGCTCTCTGGTGATCCTGATGCAGCTGGAGTGCTGAGTGCCACGACCTGGGAAGTGCTGCTGCAGTGATTCCTACGGTCAATGGAGCTTTGGCATCACAAGTAAGGGGCCTGGGGATCAGCTGGCCCTCCTCTCCTTGGGATTCTGAGATGAACAGGAAAAGTTTTGTCATGTTGTTGTTGCTGCTAATGGTATGCTTCCTGTTATGGTTAATATGTAAATGTTGCTCTGAATACATTTTCATAGACCATGTTATTTAGTGGTTATGATTTGAATATTTGTATGCATATTGGTGAAGGTTTTTTCCCTGAGAATCCAGCCCCAAATGCAGACCGCAGAATGGAAACACCCCTATTACATCCCACAGCACAGGAACTGGAGTGAGCCACAGCCACAGTGTAGGTGGAGATACAGACTGGGTGGGGTCTTCTCACTCTAATCCCTCCTGGTCACAGTAGAGCTATCTAGATGGCTTTCTTTCAGTTTTTGATTAAGCCTCTGGAAGTACATCACATTAGGCTAAAAGGTTTGATTAGTTGTCATCACACCCACCATTTATGCACAATCTTCTATTTGCCTAGTACCAACCTAAGCCTGCAATGAAGATTATGCCAAAGAAAAAAGTGCTGACTTTTAGAAGGACAGCCGTAAAGCTGAGCTCAGGTTGGGAAGGAACCTGTTACTTGTGAAAGAAAGGTAACTTCATGGATGGCATCTAAATGACTATATTTGCCTAACTTTCCAAACCAACCCGAGGACCTTCCTATTCCCACAGGAAGCTCACCACTCCAGCTGCAGGTTTCAGGTGTTGCAAATAGTAGATGAATCACTGGTAGAACTAGAACTCTATCTTCTGCATCTACAGGAGGCATTGCTGAAAGGGGCTGTGGCAGCCCTGATCTGTGTCCACTGAGCCTTTTTGGAGGATTCTTTTATCTACACTGTGATCCAGTTCACTTGGGCCAGTGAGGTTCTTTCAAACCAGAACCCTCTGCCTGTTCAGCTGCAGGGCCCAGGCTCCCAAGTGTCTTCCTAACTCCACATTCATCTTAGGTCAGCAATGGTTCAGGCCCTAGGGATGAGTGTTTCATGAATTTGCTGGTGTTATATTTGCTCCAAAGCTTCTCTGGCTTCATATTCCACCAAAAACTGAGAACACTGGGACAGGCTTGTACAACCTTACCTGTAGGTAGAACATGAGGATGAGGATAAGATAAATGGAAACTTTCTAAGGTCTTCTTTAATTTCTTTCTTTAGTGTTCTGTAGTTTTCCTTGTAGAGGTCTTTCACCTTTTTTCAATGATTCCCAAGTATTTTTTTTTTTTTGAGGCTATTGTAAATGGGGTAGTCCTCATTTCTCTTTCAGAGGATTTGTCACTGATATATAGAAATGCCTTTGATTTATGGGTATTGATTTTATATCTTGCTAACTTTGCTGAACTTCATTTATTAGTTCTAGAAGTTTTCTGGTGGAATTTTTTGGGTCTTCTAAGTATAGAATCATATCATTGGAAAATAGTGTTAATTTGATTCCACAGTTTAGCTATTATGAATTGTGCTGGTATAAACACTGATGTGGCTGTTTTTAAGTCCTTTGTGTATAGACCGAGGAGAGGGATAACTGGGTCAAACTGTGGTTCCATTCCCAGATTTCCAAGGAATCTCCATACTGCTTTCCTTATTGGCTGCATCAATTTGCAGTCCCACCAGCAATGTATGAGTGTGCCTTTTCCCCCATATCCTCGTCCACACTTATTGTTTGTATTCTTTTTTTAAATTGCTTTTATTTTTTAAATACATGACAGTGGAATGCATCACAATTCTTATTACACATATAGAACACAATTTTTCATATCTCTGTATATAAAGTATGTTCATACCAATTCATGTCTTCATACATGTACTTTGGATAATGATATCTATCACATTCCACCATCATTGCTAACCCCCTGCCCACTCCCTTCCCCTCCCACCCCTCTGCCCTACCTTGAGTTCATTAATTCCTCCATGCTATCTCTTTTATTGCTGAGTAATATCCCATTGTGTATATATGCCACATTTTTTTCCGTTCATCTACTGAAGGGCATCTAAATTGGTTCCACAGTTTAGCTATTGTGAATTATGCTGCTATAAACATTGATGTGGCTGTGTCCCTGTAGTATGCTGTTTTTAAGTCCTTTGGGTATAGACAGAGGAGAGGGATAGCTGGGTCAAATGGTGGTTCCATTCCAAGTTTTCCAAGGAATCTCCACACTGCTTTCCAGATTGGCTGCACCAATCTGTAGTCCCACCAGCAATGTATGAGTGTGCCT